CTCAATAAAATAGTGAAGAGTAGAGCCATCACACTGGCAACAAAGAACCGCATAGTGAAAGCAATTGTATTCCCCGTAGTCATCTATGGATATGAGAGCTGGACCGTAGGGAAGGCTGAGTGAAGGAAGATAGATGGTTTTGAATTGTGGTGTTGGAGGAAAATTCTGAGAGTGCCTTGGACTGCGAGAAGATCCAACCAGTCCATACTTCAGGAAATCAAGCCCAACTGCTCATTGGAGGGAAGGATAGTAGAGGCAAAGATGAAGTATTTTGGTCACATACTGAGAAGACAGGAAAGCTTAAAGAGGATAATGATGCTTGGGATAATGTAAGGAAAAAGTAAGAGGGGCCGACCAAGGGCAAGATGGATGGATGGTATCCCTGAAGTGACTGGCTTGACCTTGAAGGAGCTGGGGGTGGTGACAGCCAACAGGGAGCTCTGKAGTGGGCTGGTTCATGAAGTAACAAAGAGTCGGAAGCGATTGAATGAACAAACAACATTATTATTATTATTATTATTATTATTATTAATTTACTGACACAAAAGCACAGTATGTCACAGCAAACAAGATCTATATGCTGGATTTCGTATCAAAAAATCACAAGTCGAACACTTTCCAAGCGTCTAGGACTGTGTGATGCATTTTCAAATGATGCGTGCAGATCCAAGTAAGGTGGCCTTTTGCAYCTGACAGATTGTGATTTTGTGATTGTTTCCAATTATCATTATTATRATTATRATTATTATTATTATTATTATTATTATTATTATTATTGTGTCCACAGAGGGTCCTGGAAAATATCCCTGCAAAAACAACAACAATATTTGTTTATTATGTTTGTGTTTATTATGTTTATTTATATACATCTGCTTTTTCTCTCCAGAAAGCCTTCTATCTTTTTACAGAAATGGGGGAAAAAATCCTAATGTTTACCTTTCAGGTCCTGCTGTAATTAATTAACACTATGATCCTTGTACAAGAATCATACTTTTAATTACAGCAGGACTTGGAAGGTAAACATTATGAATTCCTTCCCATTTCTAGAAGGCTAAAGACAGAGCTTTGGGTTATGCACAAAAGCCGGAACATACACAACAAAAGGCTGCAAGGAAAAAAAATACATATATTCCGGAAGCCAACAATGACAAAGCATTTCCTCAGGATGCAGGCAGAGGGCAGCAAGGAAATGGATGGAGAAGAACAGCTGCAAATGCAGATGACCAGAAGCCATTTTACAAATGTTCTCGCTTTCTCTTTTCCACCATCTTATGTATGGATCGTTCCGCTTTCCCCTTTCGTTCCAAAGGGAAGGAGATGATGATACTTAAAAGCAACATGAAACAAATGGGGCTTGGAAAAGACGTTGTGGCTGACGATATTTTGCAACTGTAAAAGAGTGGTGCAAACATTTAAAAAAGAGGGAAGAGTCGAATGCACTTCTTGCACAAAAACAGCATTAGCCACTGTTTATTTTTGTAAAAATCAATCCAAACATGGAAATGCATTCACCCGTGTGTGACAAATCACAGTTTTATTTAAGCACACCAAAAATTAAATAGTGGGGGAAATGGCAAACTAATATGCAAGGAAGACATATAATTTGAAAAAGACTTTAATTTCCTTCACTCTGCTGTGTACAATCTAACTTTATATCTAACTAGCCGTCCCCTGCCACGTGTTGCTGTGGCCCAGTATGTGTATATGTCTTGTGTGTGTATATATGTGTGTTTGCATATATGTGTGTGTGGTTTTGCACATGCAGTGTAATGTAATTTTTGTTTTTTGGCTTTCTAAGTCTCTTCTGCTGCGTTATTCAGTGTTTTCATAAGTAATGGTAACTTGTTGGCCTGACAGGTGTCTTGTGTCCAAATTTGGTGTCAATTCGTCCAGTGGTTTTTGAGTTACGTTAATCCCACAAACTAACAATACATTTTTATTTATAGAACTAGCCATCCCCTGCCATGCGTTACTGTGGCCCAGTTTCTGTGTGGGACGTTTGGCCCAATTCTATCATTGGTGGGGTTCAGAATGCTCTGTGATTGTAGGTGAACTATAAATCCCAGCAACTACAACTCCCAAATGTCAAGATTCTATTTTCCCCAAACTCCACCAGTGTTCACATTTGGGCATATTGAGTATTCATGTCAAGTTTGGTCCAGATCCATCATTGTTTGAGTCCACAGTGATCTCTGCATGTAGGTGAACTACAACTCCAAAACCAAAGGACACTGCCCACCAAACCCTTCCAGTATTTTCTGTTGGTCATGGGAGAACTGTGTGCCATGTTTGGTTCAATTCCATCGTTGGTGGGGTTCAGAATGCTCTTTGATTGTAGGTGAACTATAAATCCCAGCAACTACAACTCCCAAATGACAAAATCATTTTTTTTAGTGAAGGACATACATTGGGTTGTTAGGTGTCTTGTGTCCAAATTTGGTGTCAATTCGTCCAGTGGTTTTTGAGTTCTGTTAATCCCACAAACGAACATTACATTTTT